GGGGTCAGACCCACCTCGGGGACCCCCCCAGACCCTCCCCAGAGCCCCCCGCCCACCTCTGGCACGTGGGACAGCCGCAGTCGGCGTCGATGGGCCGGAAATCTTTGGCGAATTGCTGATTTTTCAGCTGCAGGGACCCCCAGGGCACCAGGGCGGAACCGAAACGCTGCAGGGGGAGCAGGGTGGGTTACGGGGGTCCCCCAAAACCCCGGGGAGGGGTCCCCAAACCCCCCCCTCAGCCCCCCTTACCGCCGTGCGGGTGGGGAACACGCAGTCGAACATGTCACAGCCCAGCGCGACGCAGACCACCAGGTCGGTGGCGTAGCTGGGGGCGAATTGGGGGTGACTCCGGGGGTCTCCCCCAGCCCGGCTGGCTCTGGGGTCTGGGGGAGGGGGCTGAGGGGACCCCCAGACTCACCCCACGCCCATCAGGTAGCGGGGCTTGTCCCGGGGCAGGTGCTCGGCGCTCAGCTTCACCGTGCGCCAAAAGCGCGCCTTGGCCTCGCCCCCGCTCAGGCCCCCGATGGCAAAACCGGGCACGTCCCGCTGGGTCATGGCTGCGAGGGGGGGTGCGACCCCCAAATCACCCCAAATCACCCCTGAGCCTCCCCCCCGGGACCCCCCAGATCACCCCTGAGCCTCCCCCTGGGACCCCCAAATCACCCTGGGACCCCCAGGTCACCCCTGGACCACCCTGAGCCACCCGGACCCCCTCGAGCCCCAGGGTGGAACCGGGCACATCCCGCTGGGTCATGGCTGCGAGAGGGGGTGGAGACCCCAGGGACCCCCCCCAGGTCATCCTGAGACCCCTAAATCACCCCTGAACCTCCCCCCGGGACCCCCCAGGATCCCCAAATCACCCCTAAACCCCTCCGGGACCCCCCAGGTCACCCCTGAACCTCCCCCCAGGACCACCGGAGCTCCCCCAGGTCCCCCTGGGCTGCCCCAGGACCCCCAGAGCCCCTGTCAAGCAGGGATGAGGTGGAGGAGGGTGAGGAGGAATGCCTGAGAATGAGGGTGAGGAGGGTGAGGATGGGAGGAAGGCCCAGGGATGAGAGAGAGGATGGTGAGGATGATGAGGAAGGTGAGGAAGGCTCGGGGATGAAGGTGAGGATGGTGAAGATGATAAGGATGGCCTAGGGATGAAGCTGGGCAGAGCAAGGATGACGAGGATGGGAGGAAGGCCTGGTGATGAGGAAGAAGATGATGAAGAAGGCAAGGAAGGCTCAGGGATGAAGGTGAGGATGGCGAGGATGATGAGGACGGGAAGAAGGCCCAGGGATGAGGGTGAGGATAGCGAGGATGGCGAGGATGATGAGGATGGGAAGAAGGCCCAGGGATGAGGGTGAGGATAGCGAGGATGGCGAGGATGATGAGGACGGGAAACAGACCTGGGGATGAGGGTGAGGATGACGAAGATGACGAGCAGGGGAGGAAGGACTGAGGATGGTGAGGATGACGAGGGGAGGAAGGCCAGGGGATGAGGCTGAGGATGACGAGGGGAGGAAGGCCCGGGGATGAGGGTGAGGATGACGAAGATGACGAGCAGGGGAGGAAGGCCCGGGGATGAGGCTGACGATGACGAGCAGGGGAGGAAGGACTGAGGATGGTGAGGATGACGAGGGGAGGAAGGCCCGGGGATGAGGCTGACGATGACGAGGATGACGAGGGGAGGAAGGCCCGGGGATGAGGCTGACGATGACGAGGATGACGAGGGGAGGAAGGCCCACCTCGGATGCAGCGCAGGCGCAGCTCGGGGTCCAGCCCCCCCTGCACGATGGCGAAGAGCAGCTGCTGCTGGGGGCGGGCGTGAGCGGCCACGCAGCGATCCAGCCAGCGCACGGACCTGGGGGGCAGCCGGGGGTCCTGGGGGGGCGGTCCCAGGAAGGTCAGGGGAGTCCAGGGAAAGTCAGAGGGGTCCCAGGAGGGTCTCAGGGGGTCTGAGGAAGCTCAAGGGGGTCCCAGGAAGGTCAGGGGGGCATCATAGAGAGTCTCAGGGTGGTCCTGGGGGGGGTCTCAGGGAGGTCCCAGGGGGTCTCAGAGGGCTCACGGGGGTCCCAGGAGGACCTCAGAGGGTCTGAGAAAGGTCAAGGGGGTCCCAAGAGGGTCAGAGGGGTCCCAGGAGGGTCTCTGAAGGGTCAGGGGGTCCCAGGGGAGGTCCCAGAAAGGTCAGGGGGGTCCTGGGGGGTCTCAGGCTGTTTTGGGGGGGGTCTCAGGCTGTTTTGGGGGTCCCACCACCCCCGGATTTGGGGGTCCTTTCCCCCGGATTTGGGGGTCACACCCCCCTGAGATTTGAGGGTCCCATCCCCCGGGATTTGGGGTCCTAACCCTGGGATTTGGGGGTCTCTCCCCCCGGGTTTGGGGGTCCCAACTCTGGGATTTGAGGGTCCCCTCCCCCTGGGATTTGGAGGTTCCATCCCCTGGGATTTGGGGGTCTCACCCCCCCCCGATTTGGGGTCCCACCCCCCCGAGATTTGGGGGTCCCATCCCCATCTTTCCCACCCCCCAGATTTCTCTCCCCCGGGATTTGGGGGTTCCATCCCCGGGATTTGGGGGTCCCTCCCCCGGGTTTGGGGGTCCCATCCCCGGGTTTCGGGGTCCCTCCCCCCGGGATTTGGGGGTCTCTCTTCCCCAGGATTTGGGGGTTCCATCCCCGGGTTTGGGGGTCCCTCCCCCCGGGATTTGGGGGTCCCTCCCCCCGGGATTTGGGGGTCTCTCCCCCGGGATTTCGGGGTTCCATCCCCGGGATTTGGGGGTCCCTCCCCCCGGGATTTGGGGGTCCCTCCCCCCGGGATTTGGGGGTCCCTCCCCCCGGGATTTGGGGGTCTCTCTTCCCCAGGATTTGGGGGTTCCATCCCCGGGTTTGGGGGTCCCTCCCCCCGGGATTTGGGGGTCCCATCCCCTGGGATTTGGGGGTCTCTCCCCCGGGATTTCGGGGTTCCATCCCCGGGATTTGGGGGTCCCTCCCCCCGGGATTTGGGGGTCCCTCCCCCCGGGATTTGGGGGTCCCTCCCCCCGGGATTTGGGGGTCTCTCTTCCCCAGGATTTGGGGGTTCCATCCCCGGGTTTGGGGGTCCCTCCCCCCGGGATTTGGGGGTCCCATCCCCTGGGATTTGGGGGTCTCTCCCCCGGGATTTCGGGGTTCCATCCCCGGGATTTGGGGGTCCCTCCCCCCGGGATTTGGGGGTCCCTCCCCCCGGGATTTGGGGGTCCCTCCCCCCGGGATTTGGGGGTCTCTCCCCCGGGATTTGGGGGTTCCGTCCCCCCGGGATTTGGGGGTTCCATCCCCAGGTTTGGGGGTCCCTCCCCCCGGGATTTGGGGGTTCCCTCCCCCCGGGATTTGGGGGTTCCATCCCCAGGATTTGGGGGTCCCTCCCCCCGGGATTTGGGGGTCCCCTCCCCCCGGGATTTGGGAGTCCCTCCCCCCAGGTTTGGGGGGCCCCCCCCCCGGGATTTGGGGTCCCCCCTGACCCAGCGCGTTCTGGATCTCCATGGATCTCTCGGGGCTCAGCAGGATCTCCTCCCCGCCGTGGGGGGGCCGGAACCGAACCCCCTCCTCCGACACCTGCGACAGCTCCAGCAGCGAGACCATCTGGAACCCCCCGCTGTCCTGGGGGACCCCAAAAACGGGCGCTGAGGGGGCGGGGACCCCCCAGGGACCCCCCTGGGACCCCCCCGGGACACCCCAGAATCCCCCGGGATTGGGGACAGGGCGTGCCAGGAGCCCCCCGAGGCTCGGGGACACACCTGGGGGTCCCCATCCCCACCGGGGGTCCCGCCCCGTGAGTCAGGGCAGCTCTGGGGGTCCCCCCCCCCCCAAATTTGGGGGTCCCGCCCCTCACCGTCAGCAGGTTGTGGGGCCAGTCCATGAAACCGTGCAGGCCACCGGAACGCCGGACCAGCTCCGAACCCTGCGGGAAAGGGAGAGCAGGGCTGGGAAGGCGGCGGGAGCACGGGAACCGAACCGGGAACCGAACCGGGAACCGAACCGGGAACCGAACCGGGAACCGAACCGGGAATCCCCCGGTAACGGCGGGGGCTGCGCTCAATCCCCCGGGAACCCGCGGGAGCAGCGGCGTCAGCTCCGACCTCACCCGGAATTTAGGAATTCAGGGCAGGGGAGCCCCCCGGAGCCCCCCGGAGCCCCCCGGTGCCGCTCACCGGCCGCGTGCCCAGGTGGAAGGTGTTGCCGAGGCAGATGCGGCAGCCGAGCGCCGCCAGCTGCGCGGCCGTCAGGCCCTTGGCGGTGCCGCGGGTGCCCACGGGCATGAACACCGGGCAGGGCACGGTGCCGTGCGGCAGCCGCAGCTCCCCGGCCCGGGCGCGGCTCCGCCCGCACTCGGCCACGATCCGCAGCACCGGCGGCGGCCCCGCCGCGGGCGCCGCCATCTTCGCCGCACGTGACCGGAAGAGGCGGTGGAGGCGCCGCCGGAAGTGACCGTTACCGCGGCAACGCGGGGGCCATGTTGGGCCTTGTGCGGATGGGGAACGGCCGAGAACGGAGATGACCGAAGCACCCCCAGAGATCGCCCAAACCGAGCAGAGACCCCTCCCAGACCCCGGCAGGGCGGGGAGCGGAGATAATTCCTGCTGGTTCTGGTTTCCGGGGGGTTCCCGGGGGGTTCCAGCCCCGGGGCTTCGCTTCGGGACTGTCGTTCCCCGTGAGGGAACACACGGCGCTCCGCGGTCACGGGAGGGCCGCGAAGCACCGGAACGGCAATGGGCGAGAAGGACTCGCTGAATGGCGGCCGGCTGATCCACTGCGAGAGGGTTTTCTGTTCCCTAAGATTCCTCTCTCGGTTGCACTGCTCAGCGCGCTCGGAGTGGCGGGCGCGCTGTGGAACGGAAGGGAGGGCGGGGAGGCAGAGCAGGGCGGGCTCCCGGGGCTGCTCCGGGCAGCGCTCCCGAGGGAAGCTCTGTCCGCCAATTCAATGGCGGAACCGGTGAGGGGCGGGACCGCATCCCCGCCGCCTCAGCTGACACAGCAGCGCCACCTCCCATTGGCTGTCAGCGAAGAGCGACGGCCGACAGACCAATAAAGAACGGGCTTGTCTTCCCGGTGCCGCCCTTTCGGATGATTGACAGCGCTATGCGCCTATCCGCTCTGCACACTGCGATGACGGACAGCCCAGCCGGCCAATGGCGACGCGCGCTGCGGGAGCAGGGCGGGCCCGGCGGTGCCGGATGAGGAGACTCTGAGGGGAAGTTTGGCCGCCGCCGCCGCCGCGGGCCCCGTGAGGAGGAGCCGCCGCCGGGAGCGCGGGCCCGGCACCGCCGCGCCGCCATGGGCAACCGGGGCATGGAGGAGCTCATCCCGCTGGTCAACAAGCTGCAAGACGCCTTCAGCTCCATCGGCCAGAGCTGCCACCTCGACCTGCCGCAGATCGCCGTGGTGGGCGGGCAGAGCGCCGGCAAGAGCTCGGTGCTCGAGAACTTCGTGGGCCGGTGAGCGGCGGCGGCGGAGAGGGCGGCGGCGGGCCGCGGCGGCGGCGGGAGCGGCGGGCGGCGCCACGGGCGTAGGGAGCGTTCGGGAATAGCGGCGGCGTAAGGGCGCGGCCGGCGGAGCGGGGCCGGCAAACGGCGCAAGGGCCGCGCCGGTGCCGGGGCCCGAGCGGCGGCGGCGGCGCCGGGAAAGGCGGCACCGAACGGGGGCGGGGCTGGGCGGGGCTGGGGTCACGGCGGTCAATCGCGATAGGAGTGAGCGGGTGCCGAAAGGATTCGGGGGTTCCGTGCGCACTGCGGGCTCCCCGGTTCTCGCTCCGTGCCCGGGGACGGTGCTTGGGATCTCACCCGCCACCCCGGGGTTTGCTGAGCTGCGTGGGGCCTTCCTCCCCGCCGCCGTCATCGTCCTCGCCGTGGGGCTGCGCCCCGGAGATAGGAGCGGTGCTGGGATGGGCCCGGGAGCCGAGCGTGGCCGCGCCGATAACGGGGAGCAGAGCTCGCCGCCCTCCCGGCGAGGCGGAGGGGTCATCCCAAAAATCCGCAGAAACCGCCTCGGGCAGAGCTCTGCCCCTCGTCCCGATCATCCCCAGCCGTGGCTCCGTGCTCTCCTGCTCCTCGCTGCGGGGCTGTCACTTCCTGAGGCACCCACAGCACTCCTTCCCCTGCTGTCTCCCCTCAACCTCTGCATTCCCAAAATTCCCAACCATCACGCGGTTTGCCCGCTGTTTCAGGCTGTTGGGACATCCTTTCCCCCGTGGAAATGCTCCACTGGGAGTTTTCCCCACTGGATCCCTCCCCTCCTGTGGCATTGATCCCAATCCAGGCTGGGATCCATCACTTCTCCCTTCTAAACGAATTCCCAGCCTGGATTTGGGCTTTTCCAGCACTCAGGGGTGGAACGGTGGAGTCGTTCCCCATCCTGAATTCCTGGGAATTCTGGCAGACTTTAATTACAGCTGGAAAAACATCCCTGATAATTAAACCCCTTCGTGTCGCCGCAGCCGGATCCATCCATGCAGCTCATGCTAATTAGGGTTAATTACACCCCAGGGATGTCCTTGGGAATGGGACAATCCATGCGGGAATCCTTCCCCACCTCGTCGTGCAGCTCGTGCTAATTAGGGTTAATTACACCCCAGGGATGTCCTTGGGAATGGGACAATGAGGAATTGCCATCCCAGCTTTTAGGGGCAGTTTTGGGGCTCCCACCCCGGCATGGCTGAACAGGGTTTTCTCTCTGGATCACAAATTCCAGCTGGGATGAGCCAGGGCCCCGGGGCTGTTCCCACTGTCCCAACGATCTGCACGGATCCATCGAGCCAGGATTGGAAACTGCCCCTGGGGGGTTGATTCTCTGGGTTTTTGCAGCTGTTGGAGCTTTATTTTGGTTTTTCTGAGCCACCAGGAAGCCCTGGATCCGTGCTGGGAGGCCCTGCTCCTGTTTCTGTGGGTTTTGTACCCTCAAAATACGTGGGGAGATAATCCTGAGGGACCTGGAATTGGGCTGGGAACCCTCTAAATCCATGCCTTAGCCTAGCTGAGCTGGGATTTCCCCATGGGGAAGGGCCTGGCCTCACGGGGACATCCTTGGGGGGGTTGGGATTGGTGCTGGGGGGCCTGGAGCGCCCCAATCCCCCAATTTAATGGGAGAAGCACCAAGGGAACGACCTGGGATGGTCACCAGGGTTCCTCGTGGCCCCAACATCCCCCTTTGGAGCCTTGTCCCGGCCCTGCTCTGCCAAATCCTGACGTCCCAGCCCTTCCCGGAGCTGTCACTGGCCTGGGGGACAATGGAGCCGTTGTCCCCCGGGGGTGGGGACAATCCCTGACCTCAATGGGGCTTTATGAGCCCTTGTGCCGGGGTTCACCCCGGGCTGGGGGTCCCAGGGGGATGGGGCTGAGCCCCAGGGTTTGGGATCAGCGGGATTTGGGGAAACACAGGGAGAGCTGAATCCCAGGGGAGCGGGACGAGGGCAGCGACCCTTCCCGAGGGATGGGCCCAGGCCTGGGGGGCTGGAGGGGTCCAGGGGTGAATCCGTGGGATTCCCCTTGGTTTGGTGGGAGCCACGGCCAGAGGAATCCCGGGAATTCCGTCAGGAATGGAAAGGGAGTGGAGTGGAGTGAGGTGGAACCAGCGTTTGGTGTTTTGGAGGCATGGAAACAGCTCAGGTGTTTCCCCAGGGATTTTCCTGGCACGGGGAGGTTCCCACCAAACTCCTCCACCTTGAGAGTGGGGCTGGAGGTGTCCAGGGGTGAATCCGTGGGATTCCCCTTGGTTTGGTGGGAGCCACGGCCAGAGGAATCCCAGGAATTCCGTCAGGGATGGAGTGGAGTGAGGTGGAACCAGCGTTTGGTGTTTTGGAGGCATGGAAACAGCTCAGGTGTTTCCCCAGGGATTTTCCTGGCACGGGGAGGTTCCCACCGTGCTCCTCCACCTTGAGAGTGGGGCTGGAGGTGTCCAGGGGTGAATCCGTGGGATTCCCCTTGGTTTGGTGGGAGCCACGGCCAGAGGAATCCCGGGAATTCCGTCAGGGATGGAAAGGGAATGGAGTGGAGTGAGGTGGAACCAGCGTTTGGTGTTTTGGAGGCATGGAAACAGCTCAGGTGTTTCCCCAGGGATTTTCCTGGCACGGGGAAGTCCCCACCGCGCTCCTTCACCTTGAGAACTTTGTCCCTTTGTCCCTTTGCTGGCCCTGGTCACACCTGGGCCCAGGTGGGAGGCGGCAGGATCCGGGCAGGTGACGTCCCGGGGCTCCTTTGCGCGTCACCGGATCCTGCCGGGCCGGACGCGGGGACGCGGAGCTGGGTGGCACCTGCCACCCGTCCCTGTCCTTCCCGGAGTCCCCTCCTTTCCCCTGGACCTGTGACCTCCAGCTGAGGGAGCTGGGAATTCCCGGGGGGGCTGGGACAGGGGGGTCACCTGGATTGCCCTGGGATTGGAGTTGGGGATCACCTGGATTGCCCTGGGATGGGGGCTGGGGGTCACCTGGATTCCCTTGGGATTGGAGTTGGGGATCACCTGGATTGCCCTGGGATGGGAGCCGGGGATCACCTGGATACCCCTGGGATGGGAGCTGGGGCTGGGAATCACCTGGATTGCCCTGGAATGGGGGCTGGGGGTCACCTGGATTGCCCTGGGATGGAGCTGGGGATCACCTGGATTGCCCTGGGATGGGGGCTGGGGGTCACCTGGATTCCCTTGGGATTGGAGTTGGGGATCACCTGGATTGCCCTGGGATGGAGCTGGGGACCACCTGGATTGCCTTGGGATGGGACAGGGGGATCACCTGGATTGCCCTGGGATGGGGGCTGGGGGTCACCTGGATTCCCTTGGGATGGGAGTTGGGGATCACCTGGATTGCCCTGGGATGGAGCTGGGGATCACCTGGATTGCCTTGGGATGGGACAGGGGGATCACCTGGATTGCCCTGGGATGGGGGCTGGGGGTCACCTGGATTCCCTTGGGATTGGAGTTGGGGATCACCTGGATTGCCCTGGGATGGAGCTGGGGATCACCTGGATTGCCTTGGGATGGGACAGGGGGATCACCTGGATTGCCCTGGGATGGGGGCTGGGGGTCACCTGGATTGCCCTGGGATGGGGGCTGGGGGTCACCTGGATTCCCTTGGGATTGGAGTTGGGGATCACCTGGATACCCCTGGGATGGGGGCTGGGGGTCACCTGGATACCCCTGGGATGGGGGCTAGGGGTCACCTGGATACCCCTGGGATGGGGGCTGGGGGTCACCTGGATTGCCCTGGGATGGGGGCTGGGGGTCACCTGGATTGCCCTGGGATTGGAGTTGGGGATCACCTGGATACCCCTGGGATGGGGGCTGGGGCTGGGGATCACCTGGATTCCCTTGGGATCAGGGCTGGCACAAGGAGATCACCTGGATTCCCTTGGGATCAGGGCTGGCACAAGGAGATCACCTGGATTCCCTTGGGATCAGGGCTGGCACAAGGAGATCACCTGGATTCCCCCAGAACTGGGGCTGGGACAAGGAGGCAACAGCAGAGCCAGAGGTGTTGGACCCCGCTGTGAGGGAACCACCCTGAGCCCAGCATTCCCGTCGGGATCAGGACATTCCCTCTGGGCCATCTGGGGCCTCCCCGGGGTCCCTTCCACCTTTTCCCACCCGGGGCCGTCCCGCCCGACCTGTCCTCCCGGTTGGGCAGGAAGCGAATTTCCGGGCTGTCACCCCGGCTCCGGGACAGGGCTCGGGCTCTGCCGGGAAGGCTGTGGCCCCGTGGGGGTGACGCCGTCGGGGTGACGCCGTCAGGGTGTTGTTGTTGTTGTTGTTGTTGGCGTTGTCGTGACGTCCGGGCCGGGCAGTTCCCGTCAGAGCCGCTCCCCGGGCGATCCCGGGCACTTGTCACTCCCCGTTCCCGGCTGGCACTTCCCTGTCCCCTGCTCGGGAAAGGGTGGTGACAGCCCCAGCCCAAAGCTGCCCTTGGAGCACCACCTTTTCCAGGCACGATTCTCCCAAAAAAAAGTTCCGGGCGCTGAGGCCAGAAGGAATTCCGTGGGAATTCCCTGCTTTCCGTGGGGATCCGCCCTCCCAGCAGTGTCCTGTTCTCTCCCCCAGGAGAGCAGGAATCGATCCCCTGTGTTCCCAGCCCCCTCCCTGGGCTCTCCAGCGCTGGAGAAATCAATAGGATTAATTAATTTATTGACCCCATCCTTTCATCCCTTCCAGGGATTTCCTTCCCCGTGGCTCTGGGATCGTCACTCGCCGGCCTCTCATCCTGCAGCTCATCTTCTCCAAGACGGGTACGGGGCTGCAGAGCAGGGAGTGAGCTCCCAGATTCCTGCTTATCGGGGAGGAATGCGGGGGAGAGCCCTGGGAATGCTGGGGAGGCCAAGGAAAAGCGAGGAACATCGAGCTGGGCACGGGGGTGACTCCTTTTCCCAGCCAGATTCCCTTGGTTACCATCAGCCACCCTGATATAAAGGAGAATTCCTTCCTCCCTTTCACCTTGACCAGCCAGGCTCTTCTCCTGCCCGAAAATCCCTGGATTTGGGTGAATCCCAGAGCCCCTGGTGACCTCCTGGGGCCGTGGGTGGCTCCTGGGAGCTGAGGGAAGGTTGGAGGAGGCGGTTTTGGAGCGATGGGAGGGTTGCTGAGGGCTCTGGCTGAGGTGTCTGGGATGATTCCAGCCCTGGCAGCGCCGAGGTTTCCGCTCTGCCCGCACGGAGGGAAGGAGGAAGGAAATTGCAGCATCGCAGCGGCCGCAGCGCGGCCCCGCAGCTGCTGGGATCCCTTTTTTGGGGCAGATGGGGATCCGGGGGAGCTGGCTGTGCTGCAGCCCCCTCCCCGTGTGCTGCAGCCCCCTCCCCTTATCCTGCAGCCCCTTCCCCTTATCCTGCAGCCCCTCCTGGGTGTCCTGCAGCCCCTTCCCCTTATCCTGCAGCCCCTTCCCCATGTCCTGCAGCCCCTTCCTCACATTCCCCACTCAGCCACCCATATCCCCCTGCCCTGCTCCATCGCCATCCCTCCGAACATTCCCTGTTTCTGACATTCCCAACCCCTTCCAGAATATGCCGAGTTCCTGCACTGCAAATCCAAGAAGTTCACGGATTTCGATGAGGTTCGGCAGGAGATCGAGGCGGAGACCGACCGGGTGACGGGCACCAACAAGGGCATCTCCCCCGTGCCCATCAACCTGCGCGTGTACTCCCCACACGGTGAGGGAAAATCCGGGAAAAACGGGGGAAATCTGGGAGTTCTGGGGCCGTGCAGCGGCGAATCCATCGGGAATCTGCCTCCGGAGGGGATCTTCACCCATCCATGTCCCCCCCAGTGCTGAACCTGACCCTGATCGACCTGCCGGGGATCACCAAGGTGCCAGTGGGGGATCAGCCCCAGGACATCGAGTTCCAGATCCGGGACATGATCCTGCAGTTCATCAGCAGGGAGAGCAGCCTCATCCTGGCCGTCACGCCGGCCAACATGGACCTGGCCAACTCGGACGCGCTCAAGATGGCCAAGGAGGTGGATCCGCAGGGTAAAGGGATGGGGATGGCCCCGGGGAGGACCTTCCTCGTCCTCTTCTTCCTCTCCTGGCAGGGCCAGGGGTTCCTCTCCGTTCCGTGGGTCCCTGTTGTGCTTGGCTGGGATTCATTGGGGTCGACCCTTGGCTCCCCAGGCCTGAGGACCATCGGGGTCATCACCAAGCTGGACCTGATGGACGAAGGCACCGACGCCCGGGACGTGCTGGAGAACAAACTGCTGCCCCTGCGGAGAGGTACGGCTGGCCCGGGTCCCCAGTGTCCCCTGTGTCCCCCTCGGGTCACTCTGTCACTCTGTGTGTCCCCCTCGGGTCACTCTCCCCCTCTGGTCACTCTGTGTCCCCTGCCCTGGTCACTCTGTCACTCTGTGTGTCCCCCTCGGGTCACTCTGTCACTCTGTGTGTCCCCCTCGGGTCACTCTGTGTGTCCCCCATGTCCCCCTCTGGTCACTCTGTGTCCCCTGCCTTGTGTCATTTCCTGGCTCTCTGTGTGTCCCCCTCAGGTCACTCTGTATGTCCCCTGTGTCCCTCTCAGGTCACTCTGTCACTCTGTGTGTCCCCCTCTGGTCACTCTGTGTCCCCTCTGTCCCTCTCGGGTCACTCTGTGTGTCCCCCATGTCCCCCTCTGGTCACTCTGTGTCCCCTGCCCTGTGTCCTTCCCTGGCTCTCTGTGTGTCCTCCTCAGGTCACTCTGTGTGTCCCCACTGTCCCCTGCCCTGTGTCCCTCTCTCCCTGTCCCCAGTGTCCCCAGTGTCCCCTGCCCTGTGTCCCTCCCCGGCTCCCCCCAGTGTCCCCCGTGCCCTCCCCGTGCCCTGGGGGTGCCATTCCCTGCCCAGGTGCCCCCACAGTGTCCCCGCTGCCCCATTCCCACTCAGAAAAGCAGGAATTCCAGGTGGCACAGCCCCTTCCCACCCGGAAAAGCGGGATTTTCCCGGTTTCCCCGGCTCAGCTCTCCCCATCCCTCGGCAGCAACTCACCAACCACATCCGGGAGACGCTGCCCTCGCTGCGCAGCAAGCTGCAGAGCCAGCTGCTGTCCCTGGAGAAGGAGGTGGAGGAGTACAAGAACTTCCGTCCCGACGACCCCGCCAGGAAAACCAAAGCCTTGCTGCAGTGGGTGCCTCCCCTGGGAATTCCCAGTGGGATTTGGGCTTTCATTTCCAGCTGGGAATGTTCCTCCTGGGCTCGGGGGAGGGGTGGGGAAACCTCTCCTGGAGCATCCCTGGGAGCTGTCGCAGGAAAAGTGGGATTTGCGCTTCTCCCGCCCCGGCTGCGGGAATTTGGGGAATTTTTGCTCCCTCATTCCCGGTTTTCCCGGCCCAGGATGGTGCAGCAGTTCGGGGTGGACTTTGAGAAGAGGATTGAGGGCTCAGGAGACCAGGTGGACACTCTGGAGCTCTCCGGGGGCGCCAGGATCAACCGGATCTTCCACGAGAGGTTCCCCTTCGAGCTCGTGAAGGTGAGGAATGGGGGGTCCCTCTCCCTGGAGGCTTCTCCAGCCCAAACCATCCCAGGATCCCATAAAAATCCCGGGATTTGAGGCAGGTGGTCCGTCCTTGGATGGGTCAGTCTGGTGTGGCTCTTCTGTGGCTGCTGGAGAGTGGGACAGTCCTGGTTCCTGGTTCCTGATTGATCCCTGATTCCTGGTTCCTCATTCCTGATTCCTGATTGATTCCTGGTTCCTGATTGATCCCTGATTCCTGGTTCCTGGTTCCTCGTTCCTCATTCCTGGTTCCTGATTGATTCCTGGTTCCTGATTTCCTGGTTCCTGATTCCTGGTTGATTTCTGAGTTCCTGGTTTCTGATTCCTGATTGCTTCCTGATTCCTGATTGATCCCTGATTCCTGATTTCCTGGTTTCTCATTCCTGGTTGATTTCTGAGTTCCTGGTTTCTGATTCCTGATTGATTCCTGATTGTTTCCTGGTTCCTCATTCCTGATTTCTGATTCCTGGTTCCTGATTGATTCCTGATTCCTGGTTCCTGATTGATTTCTGATTGATTTCTGATCCTGATTCCTGATTGATTCCTGGTTCCTGATTGATTTCTGATCCTGATTCCTGATTGATTCCTGGTTCCTCATTCCTGATTTCTGATTCCTGATTGATTCCTGATTCCTGATTGATTCCTGATTGATTTCTGGTTCCTGATTGATTCCTGATTGATTCCTGGTTCCTGATTCCTGCTTCCTGATTGATTCCTGATTCCTGGTTCCTGATTGATTTCTGATTGATTTCTGATCCTGATTCCTGATTGATTCCTGGTTCCTGATTGATTTCTGATCCTGATTCCTGATTGATTCCTGGTTCCTCATTCCTGATTTCTGATTCCTGATTGATTCCTGATTCCTGATTGATTCCTGATTGATTTCTGGTTCCTGATTGATTCCTGATTGATTCCTGGTTCCTGATTCCTGCTTCCTGATTGATTCCTGATTCCTGGTTCCTGATTGATTTCTGATTGATTTCTGATCCTGATTCCTGATTGATTCCTGGTTCCTGATTGATTCCTGTTCCCGATTCCTGGTTCCTGATTGATTCCTGACCCTGATTCCTGATTGATTCCTGATTCCTGATTGATTCCTGATCCTGGTTCCTGATTGATTCCTGACCCTGATTCCTGATTGATTCCTGATTCCTGATTGATTCCTGATCCTGGTTCCTGATTGATTCCTGACCCTGATTCCTGATTGATTCCTGATTCCTGATTGATTCCTGACCCCGATTCCTGATTGATTCCTGACCCCGATTCCCACTCCCTTTCCCGGCAGATGGAATTTGATGAGAAGGATTTGAGGCGGGAGATCAGCTACGCCATCAAGAACATCCACGGGGTGAGGCAAGTATCCCCCACAGATCCTCCCTGGACACAGTTCCCGGCCCACATTCCCAGAGAAAGGTGGGAAGGGCTCTCCTGGAGGGGGGATTTTCTCTTCTGAGGATGAAATTGTTCTCCAGGAGCAGAATTTCTCCCTGGGAGCAGGAACTGCCTCTCCCAAAGCTGGGAATCGCTCTGTGGGTCAGGGAATCCCTCCCTGGGGTGGGGCACATTCCCAATCCCATCCCAATCCCATCCCAATCCCGCTTTTCCCTCTCCCTGGGCTCCAGGACGGGGCTGTTCACGCCAGACCTGGCCTTCGAGGCCATCGTGAAGAAGCAGGTGGTGAAGCTGAAGGAGCCGTGCCTGAAATGCGTGGATTTGGTGATCCAGGAGCTCATCAACACCGTGCGCCAGTGCACCAGTAAGGTACTGGTCAGCCCAGAGTGACCAGTGGGGACTGGTCAGCCCAGAGTGACCAGTGGGGACTGGTCAGCCCAGTGACAGTGAGGTACTGGTCAGCCCAGAGTGACCAGTGGGGACTGGTCAGCCCAGGGTGACCAGCAGGGCTCTCTGACTGGAGCCATTCCAGCCCCCTCCCTCCTCCCCAAAATCCCCCTCTGGTGAAATCTGGGCTCACCCTGGGCATTCCCAGGCCTCTCCTGGAATTCCCTGGATCCCGATGGAAGGGCCGGGATTTTGGGGACACCCCCCAGCCCTGGGGGGGCTCCTGGGGCAGGAATTGGGTGGGATTCGGGGGGGCTTTGGTGGGTGCTGCTCCCCCCGAGCTGCCTGGCTCCATCCCAGCAGTTCTTCCCCTCTTTTCCAGCTGGGCTCCTACCCCAGGCTGCGGGAGGAGACCGAGCGCATCGTCACCACCCACATCCGCGAGCGGGAGGGCAAAACCAAGGACCAGGTCAGCCCCCTGCCCGTCCCCAGCCCCCCCGGGAGGGACCTGCCCCCTCCCCTGACTGCTGCTCCCCTCAGATCCTGCTGCTCATCGACATCGAGCTCTCCTACATCAACACCAACCACGAGGATTTCATCGGCTTCGCCAAGTGAGTTTTTTTTTTTTCCCAGGGGACAATTCCCACATTCCCGGCCTGCGGGGGTTGTGGTTTCATTCTGGGGGGCACTGGAGTCTCCCACGTGCCACCAGCACCTCTGGCACCCGGTTCCCTCAGGTTTGGGCTGTGGGAAAGGGGCTGGGAAAAGCTCCAGCCTCAGGAATTGGGGTGAATCCTGATGGTTCAGGCTGTTGGAACCGCCCTGGAGCTGTCCCAGAGCAGGAATTGCTCCTTGTCCTCTCTGTCCCTCCTCATCCTCTCCCCTGCCAGGGGCAGGGCTCTCCCTTCCACCTTCCCTGGTGTTTTCCAGCCCCCAGACTCCAGCTCAGGGTGCCTGGAGCCCACCCCCCCTCCTGCCCCTTAAATTCCCACACTCCTCCTCCTGTTTTTTTTTTTTTTTCTTTTCTCTCTTCCCCCTTTTTTCTCTCTTTTCCTCTCCGGTCACACTCCCTGCTCTCCTCCTGCTCTCTGCTGTTTCCCCTTGGATCCATCACCTCTCTCTGTCTCTGGACTGTTCTGATCCTCTCGTGCCCCAGCTGTTTCACTGAGCAGCACGTGGCCACCGGGTGGGTACCGGGGGCAGCTCCCCCTCCCCGGGGCATCCCGGCACCTTCCCCGGGCTCTGGGGGGTCTGGGGAGGCTCCCCTCGGGGCAGGGAGCTGGGAGCTTGTCCTTGGCTTTGGGATCCTGCAGCTGCTCCTCTCAGTTCAGCCTTGGCTTTGGGATCCTGGAGCTGCTCCTCCCAGTTGAACTTTGGGTTTGGGATCCTGGAGCTGCTCCTCACAGCTCAGCCTTGGGTTTGGGATCCTGGAGCTGCTCCTCCCAGTCCAGCCTTGGCTTTGGGATCCTGGAGCTTCTCCTCCCAGTTGAACTTTGGGTTTGGGATCCTGCAGTTTCTCCTCCCAGTTCAGCCTTGGGTTTGGGATCCTGCAGCTTCTCCTCCCAATCCAGCCTTGGCTGGAGCTGCTCCTCCCAGTTCAGATTTGGAATTGGGAACCAGAGAGCTTTTCCCTCAGATGTGGGTTTGGGATCCTGGAGCTTCTCCTCCCAGCTCAGCTCTGGAATTGGGATCCTGGAGCTTCTCCTCCCAGTCCAGCCTTGGCTTTGGGATCCTGGAGCTGCTCCTCCCAGTTGAGCTTTGGGTTTGGGATCCTGCAGTTTCTCCTCCCAGTTCAGCCTTGGGTTTGGGATCCTGCAGCTTCTCCTCCCAATCCAGCCTTGGCTGGAGCTGCTCCTCCCAGTTCAGATTTGGAATTGGGAACCAGAGAGCTTTTCCCTCAGATGTGGGTTTGGGATCCTGGAGCTTCTCCTCCCAGCTCAGCTCTGGAATTGGGATCCTGGAGCTTCTCCTCCCAGTCCAGCCTTGGCTTTGGGATCCTGGAGCTGCTCCTCCCAGTTCAGATTTGGCTTTGGGATCCTGGAGCTGCTCCTCACAGTTCAGCTCTGGAATTGGGAAGCAGGGAGATTTTCCTCCCAGTCCAGCCTTGGCTTTGGGATCCTGGAGCTGCTCCTCACAGTTGAGCTTTGGCTTTGGGATCTTGGAGCTTCTCCTCCCATTTCTGCTCTGGAATTGGGATCCTAGAGCTTCTCCTCCCAGTCCAGCTCTGGAATTGGGATCCTGGAGCTGCTCCTCACAGCTCAGATTTGGAATTGGGAACCAGAGAGCTTTTCCCTCAGATTTGGCTTTGGGATCCTGGAGCTGCTCCTCCCAGTCCAGCTCTGGAATTGGGCTCCTGGAGCTTCTCCTCCCAGTCCAGCTCTGGAATTGGGATCCTGGAGCTTCTCCTCCCAGTCCAGCTCTGGAATTGGGATCCTGGAGCTGCTCCTCCCAGCTCAGTGGGTTCACCCCGATCACCCCTGCCCAGGGATCCAGGAGGAGCTGTTGGGCTCGGGGCAGGCAGGGAGGATTCCCCAGCTCCCCCAAATCCCCTTTCCCAGGGGTGGGAGTGTCCCCCCTCTGCTGCTCCGGGGCTCCCGGTGGGATTCTAACGGATTTCCCGGATTTTGTTCCCGCTCCTGACTAACGGTTCTGCCCCCTCGGTGCTCAGGAGAGACAGGTAGCTTTTCCCTCTGGTGCAGGTAATGCTCGACCCCGATCCAGGGGGAATTGGGTGTTTCTGGAAGCTCCTGGTGGTCGGAATTCCCCCCGGGAATGTGCAGCCGCTGCTGCTCGGGTGTTTCACAACCTCCTCCCCCTGGAGTCACGTCCTGGGAATGCCAGGAGTTCCCGGTGTCACCTCCCCACTCTGTCCTGGGCAAAAAAAAACCTCGGGAAGGGGCTCTGGAATTCCACCCTTCGGATGGGCTCCTCCCTGCATGTGGCCCTCGCTCAGCCCCCTCTCCCCCCACTCAAAATTCCGTTTTTTCCCCCTTTTCCCAGCGCGCAGCAGCGGAACACGCAGACCAACAAGAAGAGAGCGATCCCCAACCAGGTACACCCCCGGAATTCCTCCTCTTCCTCCTCTTCCTCCTCCTCGGGCGTGGAGATCCAAGCCCACTCTGATAGCCAGGACCGGGTTTGGGCATGGAAAAGCAGCGGAATTCCCGCCTGAAATTCGGGACCAAGCAGGCGGGAGGCGCAGCCCTGGGAACTGGGAGGACCCCGGGGTGTCCCCAGAGCCGTGTCCCCCCCAAATCCTGCTCCCAGGGGAGCGTTGGGGTGAGGCCGTGCCCCCTCCCCGGCCTCGGGCCCGGCTCCCTGCGGAAGGATTAACGCTGGGAATGATCATTAATAGCATGTAACGGGTTTTCTTCTGCTGTTTTTCCGCTTTTTCCTCCCTTTTTTTTTTTGTGCTTCTCGCTCTCTCCTTCTCCTGTCACTCCCGTCCCCTTCCGTGTTTTCTTTTCTTGCTTTTTTTTTTTTTTTTTTTGTGTTTTTCCCCCTTAATTTTGCGTGCCTAAAGGGGGAGATCCTGGTAAGTACCACGGAGCGGGACAGTGCCGGGACAGCGCCCCGTCCCCAAAAACCCCCAAAAACCCCCCAAAAAGCCACCCCCCTGCTCCCCAGGACGGAGAGAGGAGGGGGACAGGATTCCCAGAGGGAGCAGCCAGGTGGAAATGGGGTTTGTGCCCCCTGTGCCCGCTGCAGGGGCTTCGGGGTGATCCTGGCATTCAGCTTGCTCCTGGTTTTCCCAAACTTTGGGAAGCAGGAGGCCAAAATCTTTCTGATTCAGCCCAGAATGGCTGGGGGAGGGTGAGATTTCCTTGATTCCTTTGGGAACACACGGAGGGAAGGGCTGGGATTTATTTCTCCCCCTAAATTCCCCTTTTTTTTTTTTTTTTTTTGGGGAGGGATTTGGGGGGTTCAACCCCGCCCTGCCAACACCAGAATTCCCAACCTGGCTGCTCCAAGCCCTGTCATTCCACCACGGAGCTCCTCCCTCCTGGGACAGGGAGGGGGATCCAGGGGGTCCCAATCCCCTCGGAGCCTCTCCAGGAACGTGGAAGTGCCTGAGATGGAATCCTTTCCAAACCCCCCCTTTGGGATTTACAACCTCGGGGTGACCTGGGCAGGAAAACCGGGATAATCTCATGGATCCTGCCTCTGGATAGAGCTGGAATGCCAGAGCCAGGGGGAGCTCCCTGGTGCCAGGCTGTGAAACGTTTTATTCTCCCAAAATGTGGATTCCCTGGGGCTGCTGCATGCTGCCCCCCCCGGGAGGGTTTGTGCCTCCCGTTCCACGAATCCCCGCCGCAGATCCGGCCTTTTCCCGGCTCCTCAGGCACTTCCACCTCCTCTCAGCAGCACCCAGATATTCCTGGGGACCCCCGGGACCCCCAGAGCTCCGGGCAGGGCCGTTCCCTCGCCGGCCGCGGGACGGGATCACGATGGGAAGGGGGGAGAGCTGGGAATTGGGGGTGGGAGTCCCTGCCGAGCCCCCAGACCATCCCTGTTCTCACCAAAATCCGTGGGTTTTAAAGGAACCTCATCCCTGCTGCTCCTGGGCTTTTCCCAGAGGCTCCAGCTCCTGCTGGGCTGCACAGACCCTCTCCCTTTTGCATGTAACCCCTCAAAATTCCCCCCTCTCCCCTTTCCCTTTTTCCTTTCAGCCCCTTTTCCTGCTGATCCCTTTCCCCAGTAACACCCCAAGCCCCCCTGACCCCTCGGGCTTTGCTCCAATCCCTTTCCTGATCCCTGATCCTCCCTTTCCCCCTTCCCACCCCCCAGTTCCTTTAAAACCCGCTCGGGTCCAATCCCAGGGTGGTTCCCAGATGGGAAGGGGGCTCTCGGAGGTGAAATCCCCCCTCCCCTGCCCCCCTGCAATTCCCGGGCTCTCCGTCCTTCCCGCGCCCGGAGCGCTCCGCCGCAGCTCCAGCTTCGCTCCTTCCTCACCCCGGGGATCTGCCGTGGCTCCCGCGCCGGAAAACCGACCCCGACCCCACCCCCGGGAGGGGCTTGGGACCCCCGGGGGTCTCGGTGTTCCCGTGGAGCCACGGCAGGCTCCGTGTCTAACCGGCTCTGCCCCTTCCCGGGGGCTGCTCCCGCTCCGGCCGCGCTTCCCGCTGAGCCCTGGCACTAACCCGAGGGGTGGGAGAGCCCCGGGGTGGGCTGGGGTGGGCTGGGATGGACTGGGATGGGACTGGGATGGGCTGGGATGGACTGGGATGGACTGGGGTGGACTGGGATAGCCCGGGATAGCCCTGGGATGGGCTGGGATGGACTGGGATGGACTGGGATGGGCTGGGATGGACTGGGATGGACTGGGAGAGCCCTGGGATGGGCTGGGAGAGCCCTGGGATGGACTGGGATAGCCCTGGGGGATCTTGCAGTGAGATCACTGCGGGATCACTGGGGGATCCTGCTTCAGGATTGCTGTGGGATCCTGCTGGGGGATCCTGCTTTGGGATCACTGTGGGATCACGGTGGGATTGCTCTGGGATCGCTGCGGGATCACTGTGGGATCCTTCTTTGGGATCTTGCTTTGGGATCACTGTGGGATCCCGCAGTGGGATCTTGCTTTGGGATCACTCTGGGATCACTCTGGGATCACTGCGAGATCCTGCAGTGGGATCCTGCTTTGGGATCCTGCTCTGGGATCACTGTGGGATCACTCTGGGATCGCTGTGAGATCACTGTGGGATCACTCTGGGATCGCTATGGGATTGCTCTGGGATCACTGGGGGATCACTGCGAGATTCTGCAGTGGGATCCCGCAGTGGGATCCAGCTTTGGGATCGCTGTGGGATCCTGCAGTGGGATCCTGCTTTGGGATCACTGTGGGATCCTGCAGTGGGATCCAGCTTTGGGATCACTGTGGGATTTCTCTGGGATCACTCTGGGATCACTGTGGGATCCTGCTGTGGGATCTTGCTTTGGGATCAGTGCGGGATCGCTTTGGGATCACTGTGGGATCCTGCTGTGGGATCGCTGCGGGATCCCGCAGTGGGATCCTGCTGTGGGATCACTGTGGGATCCTGCTGTGGGATCACTGGGATCACTGTGGGATCACTCCCGCAGTGGGATCCTGCTTTGTGCTTTGGGATCGCTGCGGGATCGCTCTGGGATCACTGTGGGATCCCGCAGTGGGATCCTGCTTTGGGATCACTGCGGGATCGCTCTGGGATCACTCTGGGATCACAGTGGGATCCTGCTGTGGGATCACTGTGGGATCCTGCTGTGGGATCACTGGGATCGCTCTGGGATCCTGCTTTGGGATCACTGGGGGATCACTCTGGGATCACTGTGGGATCGCTCTGGGATCACTCTGGGATCACAGTGGGATCCTGCTGTGGGATCACTGGGATCGCTCTGGGATCCTGCTTTGGGATCACTGCGGGATCGCTCTGGGATTACTGTGGGATCCTGCTGTGGGATCGCTCTGGGATCACTGTGGGATCGCTCTGGGATCACTGTGGGATCTTGCTTTGGGATCACTGTGGGATCACTCTGGGATCACTCTGGGATCACTCTGGGATCACTCTGGGATCACTGTGGGATCCCGCAGTGGGATCCCGCTGTGGGATCGCTGCGGGATCCGCTGTGACCGCCCCGCCTCGCCGGCGTGCCGCAGGTGATCCGCCGGGGCTGGCTCACCATCAACAACATCAGCATCATGAAGGGCGGCTCCAAGGAGTACTGGTTCGTGCTCACGGCCGAGTCGCTCTCCTGGTACAAGGATGAGGAGGTACGGCCGGGAAACGGGGGGAATTTGGGGTGCCGGGGGGAGATCCGCCGGGGCTGGCTCACCATCAACAACATCAGCATCATGAAGGGCGGCTCCAAGGAGTACTGGTTCGTGCTCACGGCCGAGTCGCTCTCCTGGTACAAGGATGAGGAGGTACGGCCGGGAAACGGGGGGAATTTGGGGTGCCGGGGGGAAAAATGGGGGAAATCTGGGATTTCAGAGGGAAAAATGGGAATTTGGGGTGCCGGGGGGAAAATGGGGGAAATCTGGGATTTCAGAGGGAAAAATGGGAA